TTTCTATTGATGAAAGAAGAACAGTCACGTCTTTAGTTATTGCAACTATATATGTCTATCTTCTTAGAAAAGAATAACAAACCCATCTTTAATTATTACAATTATATATGTGTATCTTCTTAAAAAAAGAATTACAATCCTATATGAAGATATTGCGACTCTTCTTAAAACTAAATAATTTAAGGCTATAACTTATTGTAATGGTGAAAATTGTTGCACCATTCCAATGGTTTGGTGAGTGAAATTGGTTATGGTTTCAATTTAAGAAGTAATTTTTTTATAATAGTTATATTGGATGAAATCTTTTATTATCGATAAAAGTTGTGGTTATAAAAGTTGCGGTTATAAGACAGTCAAAACCATATATGATCAATTATAATAATGTACTCCCACTATTAAGGTATATACTCTATGTCTACAATAAGAAATTTGCTCAGTGTCTTTCTCTGGTTAATTTTGGTGGCTATGGTTTTGACTTCCCAGATATTGCCTATGCTAGTAGAAGAATAGCAAGGGCAATACCCTTGTATAGCTGCTCATTGGTAGTGGCTACTCTGCTATTGGGGCCTAATATAAATATCTAGCTTTATTGAAAAAATACACCGAAATATAAGATTTAAGGTAGAGGGTCACAAGTTTGCCAAAATCATTCAAATAGTTGGATTTATGTGATTTTCCATTGGATTTTTGGTTGTGGATGAAGTTTATACTCATTCAAAGACATGGAGAAAATATATAAACTTCAGTCTTGAATGTTAACTCTTCATGCCTTTAATGGGTCAAGTGACACACGAGGTTAGTATGCCCTACACTCCCCTACATACAAAATGTAATCAAATTTTACCTGTTTTTATAGCTTTAAAGTTTGATTGTGATTCAAAAGAACTGCTAAGGAAAAACAAAAGAATAGAAAATGTTGCAAAAAAATCATACCCATGCATAGTTCTTTATGTGACAATGGACATCAAAGATATTTTTTAGAATGAAACCATGACATTAGTTTGTCCAATAATTTTACTTTTTTTAGGTGAGGACTCGTCCTATTGTATCAATAATCAAGTATCTTAGGCTTACACATCTTTTTTACATGTTACACATATGACCTGTTAGGGTATTGATTGTCTTGATAATCAACAACTTATATTTGGTCAGATTTTTACTACATTCATTCAATAAATATGTTTTAATAGTTGAAACAGGGAAAAAAATAAAAATTAGAAAATATAATTCAAAATGGTACACGTGCAACGCACCTGTGCACCAACTAGTGAAAAAAGAATTACAAAAAAAATTAAGGAAAACAGTAACTGCTTTAACAACAAAAGCAGTAAACTGTATACAACAAACAGAAAGACTATCCTCAAAATTCTGTACAATAACTGTATGTTGATCCTGCCATCAAACCATTGCAACTTCAGCCAGCAGCAGGCATCAGCAAACAGCTACATCAACTCAGCAACTCAGCAGAAATAAAGACAGCAGCAGTCCAGCAACTCTGCATAAGCAGCTTAGCAACAGCTGCCCAGCAATCAATGCAAAAGCAGCACCTGGCATGAAGCAACCAAGGACTGCCTTTTCTCAGCTCAGCTCACAGCATCAGCTACATCATTAATCCCTCATCTCCTGCCTTCCCAGGGCAGCTCCTGCTACAACAGCATTTCAGCACACAGTTCCAGCAGCAACAAACATTCAGCTCCAACAAAAACAGCAGCAGCTCATCAATTTAGCAGATCAGCAGAAATAAAGACCTGAACAACTTCAACAAGACACGAAGAACTGAATATTCCAGATCAGTCCAGAAAAGTGCAATGCAATCAGAGCAGAATACTCAGACTGCACACACCAATTACCAAGATACCAAGCCATCAGTCATGAACAGTCAGATCAGAATAACTGACTCCTCCCACAATGCAGACAATTATCAACTTAATCACTGCCAATACAGGCATATCATCAGTCATGAAAAATCTGAGCAACTACAGACTGCTCATCAAGACACTAATTCATCCAGCTCCATTCCTTTTATCAAACACAACCCTCCTCTTTAATCTAGCAGTAGGTAACATGCCCTGGTCCCTCCGTAAAAGTAATCTCCCATCAAAAGGCAGCACATCATTCTCAAAAAACTCATGACATCTGCCAGTCTGCACAGCAAAAGAGTCCAAAAAGTCAGCAATGACATTGGCCTCTCTGTAAATATGCCCTATCTGGAAATGCAGCTTATCCAAAACCCTCCATATTTGCTCCATAACCTCCCTCATTCTCCAAGGCACTTCTGCCTGTCTTAAGACCATCTTAACTAAGACCTGAGAATCGGATTCAATACAAATCTGACTCCCCTCCAGACCATTTCTCAATATCAACTTCAATCCATCCAACAAGGCCAGGCATTCAGCTTTCATATTAGACCCAACCCCATAAAAAGCAGCAGCTGCCACCACCATATGCCCCTGGGAATTTCTTATGACCATCCCACCACCTGCAAGTCCACTACTCCCCTTGGATGCACCATCAACATTCAGTTTCAACATGGACCCAGGAGGAGGATACCATTTAATCCACATAACACTAGTCATAACAGAAAAAGATGACGTAATTTTCAAATCCCACAACATTTCCTTTCCCCTACAATCATCCAACCTCTTAGGCTTAATCATACAAGCCTACCATCTCAAAGCCCTAGTCACCTGCATAAAGATTGCATATGCATTCAAATACAACCCCTCAAACCTCCTCCTACATCTTTCCTTCCATATAGCCCAGAAAAAATCAACATAGCAACTCCCCTGATCAAACAATGACTCAAGGATTGGGCCTTAAAACATCTAAGCAACCTTAACAGTCTACAAATAGGGGTTTCACCAGAGCACAGCACAAACCCCATGATAGAAGATAGCCTTTTCCACACATCATTAGCAAAACAACATTTAACAAACAAATGATTAACATTCTCCTCCTCCAACCCACACAAACTACATTTACTTACCAAGGAAACACCCACACTTTTCACTCTAGCATCAGTGGACAAAGCATCCCTATAAATCTTCCAAGTACACAACTGAGCACTAGGAAATATTTGCTGATTCCATATACCCTGAGCAATAACACTTTGAACTCCCCTCCTTCTAATCTGGAATCATGCAGATTTCACTGAAAATGAACCAGAATTAGTATGCCTCCAGATCCTAGTATCAGGCCTCTCGGTCAACACTAAACCAAAACTCCTGATCTCATGCTGCAACTGAGGAGTAAGCCACTCAGCAACCTCATCTAAGCGCCACTCATTAGCATGCTATAGCTCACTAATCTTTGGGAACACCACAGGTAAACCATCAATCCTATGAAGCAAAGGGCCAGCTTCCATCCATAGGTCACACCAGAAGTCAGAATTCTGACCATTGCCCACAAGCATCAAAGAATTATTAACTACAAATTCAAACCAAGGTCTCAGAACTTTAAAACCTTGACCCTTCCCAGACACCCCACACCTCAGTAAATGCATTCCTCTAAACACCTTGGCCCACAATGATTGGCCATTTAGAATACCCCAGACCTGCTTTATTCTGAAGGCAGACTGTACTTCACCAAAACTCCTGATCCCTAACCCTCCTTCAATCTTAGGCTTAGAAATGTTTTCGAAGGAAACCCAATGTCTCCTTCTAACATCCAGTTTAGCAGACCAAATAAACCCAGCAATGATGGAGTTCAATTGCTTAAGTATCCCCTTGGGAATATTTACACAAGCAAGCATATGAATTGGAATAGAACTCAGAACTGACTGAACTAAAACCACTCTCCCCATTCCAGAAAGCAGTTTAGAATACCAACCCTCCATTCTTCTTCTGAAAGTTTTCACCACTTCCTCAAAATAACAAATCTTAGTGAGCTATGGCATGTAAACTTGGGTTCATATAAACATTTATTTCAATTTGTACATAATTATTTTGAAGGTCTAAAATAAAATCATACAAACGAAATGGTAAAAAAAAAAGACTATTTAACCTTTAAGGGAAAGGGTGGTTCATTGGTTCAGCCTAGGAAAGGATCCTAAATCCCATATACGGACAATGACATTTGTCTTTGAGGCCCTTCAATTTTCTCATCAAAAAACTGTTTGCTGACCATATTTAAGTGCTGCCAGCCTGTGAGTGAACCTCAACAACAAAGAAGGAAACCCACACTAGCAAACAGTCCCGGAAATGTAACTAGCATATAATAAGAATGCTGAAGAAAGCAAGTTACTATAACAGATTAAAAAACATCATCTATTAATCAAACTGGTCGATCAAAAGAAAAACTGGTGTTTTCCATTGTTTTCTGAAAACAACAAAAACGCACCGAAATGAGATTTAATGATAATTTTGTTCTAGATCAACAAAATCTTTTAGTTATGCCACAATTCATGCTGAACAATGGATTACAAGCTACATTACAGGAAGAGATGCCGGCTTAGCTGATTGGATATCAACAACTTATTGCAAAGAAGCGACGTCACACTGCCTCATACAAAAACTGGTTCCGTCAAATCCAATTAGCAGTTGTTAGATCAACGCTTGACCCACTGGAAACTCTTTCGTGCTTTTGCCTTGCCAGGCTTTTTCCTTTCCACAACTCTCGGTCCCTTGTCAAGAAACCAACTGGCAAGACACAATAATGACATGCAGATTAAGAGGTGGTGTGGGTAAAAATCATGCATGACAACAAGCTGAAATTGTCTATAGAAATAAATATGTGGGGTTATATTTGATTAACAACGCCATTAAGGCTGGAATCAGTAGGCAAGCTAAAGTTATATAGATCATGCTTGCATTTTCCTACAATTCCCAACCTGAGAAGTAAAAGAAAACATCCTTTCTTCTAACTTTAGGAAAACTGCAGGTTTAGTAAGTAATTTGCTATGAAAAAGCAAAATGAATCTGTAATAGAAAAAAAAAGTCAGCCCACAAGTTGTACCTGATCTGAGAGGAGGACGTAGATCTGGCTCCCAGTTTTGCAAGGCCTTACTGATACCCAAATGAATTGCCCCAACTTGACCTGTTCACACAAAGTAAATTACTTTGGAGTTAGGAGCAATGCAACGAAGGCAACAAAGATAAGCCAGTAAGCTAAAGATACAACTAACAGGAAAATTGATAAATTGCACTCACATTAGCCATCAAGTAACATGACTCAGATAATTCAAATTACAATCTTACAGCCTCATACCACCATCTCGAATCCCTGTGGCAAAAACTAACAACTAACAAGAACTTAATTTCTCACAAAAAAAGATGAAGCTCAACTCAAGCTTTAATACAAACAATAAATAAGCCACAAAGCAGCACAATGACGAATTGCAGGCATGTACAAAACCATAGCATCAGAAGAGCAAGATGAAACTACAAGAAGAAAAAAATGTTCTTCTTCTTTGGTTAGTGAAAAATAAGGAAGGAAAACCCACTGCAGAACTGTTGATATTAGTTGAAATTCATGCACATTTGCCAGTATGGCATATTTGTGATTCAATTATAATATCACTAGGAAACTATCATGTGCAGTTAACTAATGTCAAAAGATAATCATGTGTGGATCCTTCAGAGCTTTGAACATCAGCCCATGGGTAAATTTAATCCCTGCCAATGTTTATTCTCGCATTCTATCATTGCACAGCAGTCAAGTGCATACTTGATGATCTAACTCCTTGCAACAGCCAAGAGGCCCCAAATGTGGCTCCCAACACTGCAAGTGGACATGCCTATATAGTTGGCAGAAAATTGCCCTCTATAAACTGAGGCTTCAAAGCTATTTTGAAAATTTTCCTCACACTGCTTCTCAACATTCCTCCCTATAAATACCATAAATTTCAAACCTTGACTATTGAAATAATAAAAGCACTGATGTTTAACATCATATCCAGAAGAGGTTGACCTTTGGAGAGCAGGAAAAACATATCAACCTTTGGATATAATTGCTGGAAGCAAAATATTTATCCTCAAGAAAAGGTGATGAATGAATCATGCAAAGGAGTTAAACATCCATGCAATTCTTCCTCAAATGGGCTAGATGTACACGATAAAACATATTGGCATTATGCTACATAGATCAAATGCTAACTCTTCAGTTACAACATTAGTGTTGCTTAATTGTCATCCAGAAGGAACCCAAATTAAAATAGGAAAAAAGACGCTAAAAATAATAAGATATGTAAGCACTGAGTCTTGCTCACCTGACACACCCCTTGACAGTACAATTGACGTCCCACAGACCCAAAGTCTTTGTTTCGGAGAAAGGTCGAAGCAAAGCAGCCCGGTGATCAAGCATTGGGAAATACACATCGAACTGCTTGTCATTGACAGTAAATTGCCCTTCACCAGGTTGAATCCAGACACGGGCTATACTGCATTTCCTCCTTCCTGTTCCATACGCCCTTCCCTTTTCATCCACTTGTCTCACTCTTGCTCTGGCAACCTCCTCCTGTTTCCGGCGCTCTATTTCAGCCCGTGTGGATTTTCTTGTATTTTTCTCATAACGCGCGTCTTCTATTTCTCTTAGAGGGGGCAATCCTTGAATGTCTTCCAGGTCCTTTAGAGCAATCAAACTGTCCAACATTGATTCTGTGATTCCAGATGCAGCAATGAGATCACCAAATGCACGATTCAGACCTGCAATCACAAATATTGGATCAGTATATTCTTCGGTAAAATCTGTACAATATTAGACTCCTAAACTTCATGCAAAACCATTATCAGAGCCTATATAGGATTAATTAAAATATAGAATAAAAAATCCAAAATTATAACTTGTATCCTATGGACCAATGAATCTACTCTATAGATAGTAATCTTCGTTGAGAAAGTGGGCCAGGGTAAACAGATTTTTCAATGATAGTTATTTGATCTCACAGCCAACCATATCCAATGTATCATCTGGTCTATCCGAACTCGAGCTTTTTGAAGCAAGTACATCACTAGCTCCATTTTGTCTGTCCACAAACCCTCAACCCTCTCACCAGTGGCTTTCCACTCCAAATTGGTAGCTAGCAAGCTAAATGGAGGGGCACTGAACTCTTGAGCACTCTGATATTAAATCTACAGTGAATAACTAATTCATTAAATACACTAGAGGACAGAAACATACAGTTTGCAACAAGCACCTTGGTCTAACGCTTCCAATTCAGGCAATACTTTTTTTGGTAGTAAACCAAAAAGCGTGCATTTACATTTTTCCCCACTGACAGGCTTAACTACACACACAATCAGTATCAAACCATGATTATGATCTTCTCAATCCTCCTCTGCTAAGATTTAGTCTCTGATGTAATAAAATAAAACCTGAATTTTTTTGGCATTAACAGCCAGCAAAGCAACCCCATTATATGCACCCATCAAACAATACACTGATCAAGCTACAAACAAATACACTAACAAGCCTGAACAAATTATAAATTGTTCCGCAATGAATATATGTGTAATACTAATCAAAAGGTTCCATTATATGCATATGCTTACAATATTTACTAAAACCATAAAGAATTTGGGTGTTTAATTAAAAAGCTTGCCTTTGAGTACAGCAGTTAGAGCTTTCTCTTATCTCTCAAGTTGCTTCACCTCTTCACTCTTCTCACTCTCCACTCTCTCACTGCTGCCACCAAGTCCCTGCATTTCCTCCGATCCTCCCTCTGTTCCAATATCAAATACATCTTCCTCTTTCTCCTCCACCACGAAATTCCACGCCTTGTATCCTTCCGCCGTCACCCAGCCATCATCCCCACCACCCCCGATTTTACTCCCTCCAATCTCACCCTTTCCATCAATACTTTTAAATATATCATCATCATCGCCACCACCAACACCCGATTCTCCCGACCAAGACTCATCCTCCGCTTTGACCGGTGGACTAGCATTAGCATTGCCCTCGTCGATTCCTTCTAGAGTTCCTTCGCTGCCTTCGCTGCCTTCGCCGAATAAAGAGTCAGTGTTATCGCCATTATCCGTAGACAGTTTCCACAAATGAGATGCTGTTTGATCTTTATTACTACTACCGTTATTATTGTGATTCGTCGAGAAATATTTGGGGTTTTGACGAAGAAATTGAACCCTAAATGGTCTTGTGATTAAAAGGAGTGGGATTTAGGGTTTGACAGAGGTTTTCCTGACGATACTAGAGATAGGAGACGATAGTTTGAGGTCTTACAAATGAGGCGCGAGAGCATTGTTCACAGAGAGAAAGAGATAGAGACAGAGGCTCCTCTGCTGTTTAGTGGAACGAATTGGGATTCGTCGAGAAATAATTGGGACTGTTCAAGAAGAAAGTGGAACGATGCCGTTTAACGGCAAAAAAAAAAAAAAAAAGGTTTAACCAAACAGCAGGGCCTGCTGTTCTTCACGAATAGCAGAGGAGCCAGATCCGGGCATGGGGATAGGGTTTTGAGGGTGTCAGGCGCCTGTGGTTTTGAGGGTGTACATAGTAACGTTTAAAGGGAGGTGATGGTTGTGATAAGATGGTTTTAGAGAGAAAAATATGAATAGGATAAAAATCAGAGTATAAATTGTTTTATTTTATATATATGTGTGTGTGTGTGTGTATGTGAGTTAAACGTGAGTCATTGGGAGAAGAGGGAGAGAAAGGAAAACATAAAAGAGAGTGAGGCATAGAAAAGAGAACGAGGAAGAGAAGAGGAACGAGGCACCGTAAGCTAAGAGAAAGAGGAGTTGGGTTAGTTTTTTTGGGTTAAAGATTGAACTGAGAGATATTCTCTTGGTAAGTTGACTTGTTTATTAAATTATTGTGATATTGATTTTAACTTGTGAATTCTAGCTTTTGGGTTTTAATTTTTAGTTATGATTTTGCATGAGAATGATGGGTTTAAGGATTTGGAGTAGGGATCACGGTGGACCGAAATGAGGGCGGGGTGTAATCTCTATTCCCGTATCCGTTTAAAAAAATTTCATCCATTCCTGGTCCATCCCGTTAATGAGTATAATTTTTATCTTCATCCCCCTCCGCAGGTAAATTCATAATCCTCATCCCCCGCCTTCACTTTCGCCCCCCGCCCCCATCCACCTTCTCTGTCCAAACTCAAGTCAAAGCTAATATAATCTAAAATTTTAAATAAATCTAATATTATAAATAATCTAACATAATTATAGAATATCATAACATAATTAAAAGGTTATCATTTACAACATAATATAATTAATACATTATCTACAACATAATCCAACATAATATAATTAAAAATTTGTCTCCTTTGTAAATCCAATATAATATCATGTAGTACAACATAATGTAACATAACATAATCTAGCATAAAAAAATATAAAAGACACAAAGGTCTACACTTTTACAAGCCAAAACCATGAAAAAAATCAAAAAAAAAAACAATTTTCAAAAAAAAAAACATTCAATAATATGTAAATTTGAATCCAAAGCGACATATATATATATATATATATATATATAATAACAGGTAAAGCGGGGCGAGGGTGAGGGTAAGTGTCAGTTCATCTCCGCATTCATCTCCACACGGGTTTATATGGGCATCCCCGTATGCATCCACCGTCCAATACGTATGGTCCATCCCCAGTTCAAACAGAGGTAAGTTTGAATGATTACCCATTTTTACCCGATTTACTATCATCCCTGATTTGGAGTGAGAGGGAGGTAGTTACAAAAGTGTTTGTAACTTTTACATAAAAAAAACTTAGGGATGAACTAGTTCAAACTTCAATCAACCGGTTGAATAGCATTAGTTCAACCGGTTGAAGTGGGAAAACCTTATCTAATGAACTGGTTGAACGTGAACCGATTCAAGTAATTCAATTGGAGTGTTTGTGAGAGAATTATGATAACTCCCTTTTGACTTTTAATTAAGATATTTTATTTTGTGAAAGCTAATTTTTTATTTTCAAAAGGATCGACAAAAATGGATTATATGGTAACCATTGAAAAAAAATAGATCTTTTGAGTGAATGATGTGGACGGAAGATTTCATTATTTAAATATAAATTGGATAGTTCAAAAACTAAAGTAAAAATAAAAATTAAAGGATAAAAGTAAAGTTAAGTGCATATGATCACCAATTCGTTCTTGTTCGTATTAAAAAGGATTTATAAACATGGATTATATGATAACAATCGTGAAAAAAATACACAACTATTTCTAGTAGATTATTTCGATCGAAGATTTCACTATAAAATATAATTTGAAAACTTTAAGAATTCAAATAGCCCGAAAAAATTAAAGAATCAAAGCACAATAGGTGACATAAAATCGGACGATTATTTTACCTTTATTTGTTAATGTTTTGATTAACTTTCCTTCCTAGGTCTAATTGATATCCCTAAGTAGGTGTATTTATTTATATTTTTAAGAGTAATAGAAAAATGACAACAATTTTTTTTAATTATGAAATAATTAATTAGAGGATCTTTCAATCCCATTTAATAATTAGGATCTTTCTAGATTAGTAAATCTTGTCTTATTTAACAAGTACCATAAATTTGTATGGTTGTTTTTGTAGTTGGTCAAATTCTATGAGTTACACGAGTCAAGTTGATCTAGATTGATGTAAAAGGTTTTGAAAATTGTACTACTAATTACTATGTTGCCTCAACCCAAGGAATGGCAAGCTTAAATTATGAAAGCATTGTATAAGATGATTTTATGTGAGGAATGCTTAGTTTTACTAGTAATGCGCACGTAAACAAATTTATATTACCAAAATTTAAGGACAAATTGCACTTTGCACACTAAAAGTTTTAAAAAAATTTGCTTTGTAATCTCAAAGATTAAATTTCTCACATTACAACCTCAATGTATTAAAAGTATTACAATATAGTCTTTTTGTTAGTTTTTGTTACACATTCTGTCAACGTAAATGAGGTGATTTTTGATGGAGTAAGCAAATGAAGTTAAAGTTAACAAAAGTGTCATATTATAACATTTTTAATACATTGAGAATGCAATATAAAAAATCTAATTTTTGAGAGTGCAAAATGAGAAATCTTAAATCTTTTGGGGGTGCAAATGTGAGATTCTCCTAAAATTTAATGAATTCTATATAAATGGTTACAGTATTTCTGTCATCAAGTTAAATAACATCTCATATGTTTCAAGTTTATATTTTTTTTATCAATACCATGTTACATAATTAAAATGAATATCTAAGACAAATTTAGTTATAAAAAAAATTTAAAAATGGTCTATATTTTAATTTAGACCAACATTCTTGTATTAATGTATATGTGGTAATACACCAGTTCATTATTAATATCATGCTAGTAAATTTTTTGAGAAATTGTTATTTTAAGTAGTATTTATTGCTTAGATGAAAAGTGCTAAGCTCAAATTCAATAAGTCCCTTGCCACCCCACCAAGAATGTTCAAAGCCTCTAAAATTTTAGAAAATGCTCTAACTTCAACATCATATTGTCGATGATCCATAAAATAAGTCATCATTTTTTACATCAAAAATACGAAAATGAAAGTTATTGGTAAGCTTTAACTTTTTCTGTCAAGAAATAAACAATTAAAGAGCAAAACTTGTAGATAAAATAAATTGGAAGTTCTAAAATTGTACATTAATACTATTTCCCTTGGAGAACGTA